CGGGCCCAGCCGCTCCGCGGCATGTGGGATCTTCCCAGACCGGGGCATGAACCAGTGTCCCCTGCATCGGCAGGCGGACTCTCAACCACTGCGCCACCAGGGAAGCCCAAGAGAGACACCGAATTTTTAACTTCACTTAATTTTAATTTTTTTTCGATCCTAAAGTCAAGGGCAATTATTGAGAGATGCACACTTCTTCAAAATATATTTATTTATTTATTTGGCTGTGCCAGGTCTTTTTTTTTATAACAACACCTTTTATTAATTAATTAATTAATTTTTGCTGTGTTGGGTCTTGGTTTCTGTGCGAGGGCTTTCTCTAGTTGTGGCGAGCGGGGGCCACTCTTCATCGCGGTGCGTGGGCCTCTCACTGTCACGGCCTCTCTTGTTGTGGAGCACAAGCTCCAGACGCGCAGGCTCAGTAGTTGTGGCTCACGGGCCTAGTTGCTCCGCGGCATGTGGGATTCTCCCAGACCAGGGCCCGAACCCGTGTCCCCTGCATTAGCAGGCGGATTCTCAACCACCGCGCCACCAGGGAAGCCCTGCGCCAGGTCTTAGTTGCAGCATGTGGGATCCAGTTCCCTGACCAGGGATCAAACCTGGGCTGCCTGCGTTGGGAGTGTGGAGTCTCCACCTCGGGACCGCCAGGGAAGTCCCACTTAATTTGAATTTAAATGTAAATCTCACAAGACTCTAGCAGCCGCGTCCGGAGAGCGCCAGTTCGGCAGCTCCACCTGGTGGCTCCCCTTCCCCAGCCTCGACCCAGCCCCAGCGGGAGCCAGACAGGCCGGTACCCCGCCCAGCCCTGCGGTCCGAGCCTCGGGGTCAGCACACCACCACGCCCCGCCCTGAGTGGGCAGCCAGCAGATCTTCCCATCCTACTAAATCATCACTCTGTTTGCCCCCAAGTCTCGCGCTCTGTGGCCGGCTAGGCATCTGGTCTCCCACACATCTGCTGCTCTCGTGGCCGGAGCCTGGGAAGCCGGTCAGAACGAAACCCGCAGCCTCCGCAGATGTGCTCCTCTGACATGGGCACCCGCCCGTCTTTCCTGTCAGGAGCCAAGAATACTCAGGCTGCTAATTTGAACAGAAACAGTGAAGTTCTCTCTCTCGCCTCTTTGGGCAGTTATTCCGCAATTTCAGTTTTCAGAAACAAAACCCTCCCGTATGCAAAATTCGTAGATGGCTGTGGTCTCCAGGATGTTCCTCGTAAAACAAATGCGTCTTGCCTGTGGTTTTACAGTTTCATGATCATCCCACGTCGCAGGGGCACAGTTCCGACGGAAGGCTGGCACAGAGCCGCCGGTGAAAGGGCGCGAATGCGGCGTGTTTAGACCAGCAGCGAGTATAGACCAGGGTGTCTCCACATCAGCACGATTCCCATTTGGGCTGGATCATTCTTTCCTGTGAGGCCGTCCTGTGCACTGTCGGATGTTGGCTAGCGTCCCTGGCCTCCACCCCCCACACCACCACACCACCCTTGAGACAAGCAAATATGTCTCCAGACATTGTCACACGTCCCCTGGCGGGGGGCAGAATCGCGTGGGTTGTAGACAAAACCTGGGGAAAGAGGAGCGGGCCGAGTTAAGACTCCGCGGTCACCCCTCTTGGGGAGCAAAGTGCAAAGCCTCTGGACCCCAGAGAGCAAGCTGAACCCCTAGACAGCGTTGCGTGTGGGTTCCTGGCCTTAAACAGGAGAGACTCACGCCGACATCTGTCATGCATTGTTCTGCCTGTCAGGTGCTGGCAGTGTGGGGATGAACGAGCAGATAAGCTTATTATTTCACTCAACAAGTATTTATTGCCTACTATGTGCCGGGCACTGTTCTAAGCACTGGTTGTATTAGTCAAAGTTCTCCAGAGAAACAGAAACAACAGAATTGAGATATATAGACATATATATACACATGTATCCTACTCATGCGGAAATGCAAAGAAGCTGGAATATTCAAAACAACTCTGAGAAAAGAGCAAAGTTGGAGAACTGACACCAGCTTGCTTAAAGCTACGGTAATCAAGAGAGTGTGGTATTGGTGTAGAGCAGACAACTAGGTCAGTGGAACAGAACAGAGAGTCTAGAAAGAGACCCACAGATCTGGACAAGTGAATTGCAACAAAGGTGCAAAGGAAACGCAGTGAAGAAAGGCCAGCCTTTCAACAAATGGTGCTGGAACAATTGAAGTCTGTATGCAAACAAAACAAAACAAACAGAAAAAACCTTGGATCCATATATAAAAATTAATAGGGGGAGGGATAGATTGGGAGTTTGGGATTGACATGTACACACTGCTACATTTAAAACAGACAACCAACAAGGACCTACTGTAAATAAATAAATAAATATTAATACAAAATATTGTTAATACACCATTACACAAAAATCCACATGATACACAAAAATCAACACAAAAGAGGTCATGGACCTAGATGTAAAGCCTAAAAGTATAAACTTCTAGAAAAAATATACGAGAAGACCTTGGTTAGGCCAAGATTTCTTAGATACGACACCAGAAGCACGAACCATAAAAGAAAAGAAAATGGCAAATCGATTTCATTCAAATAAAACACTTCTGCTCTTCGGTAGATGCTGTTCAAGAGAATGAAAAGACAAGCCACAGACAGGAGAAAATACTTGCAAATCAAATCTCTGATGAAAGACTTTTATGCAGAATATGTAAAGAACACTCCTATCCAATAATAAGAAAATAAGCAACCCAATTTTTTGAAGTGGGCGAAAGCTTTGAACAGACACTTCATCAAAGAAGATATACAACGGCCAGTAAGCACATGAGAACATGCTCAACGTCATTCGTCGTTAGGGAAACGCGACTTAGACCCCTAAGGGGACACATCTGCCCACCTATGAGAATGGCTGCCACACCGAGTGCCGGTGAGGACACATGGAAGCGCGGGACTCAAAACACAGACTGTGTGACCATTTTGGTAAATAATACGGCAGATTCTGGACATTTTAAACATGCGCCTACAGTGTGTGATCCAGCGATTCCACTCCTAGACATGCACCCAAGGGAAACGAAAGAACATGTCCATGCAAATGCGGACGCCACGCAAACACGCAGCTCTCTTGGTAACCTCCCAAACCTGGAAATAGCTGAGGTGCCTCGAACTTGCCCGGCCGCTCCCTCTGCCTGGGATGTGCCTCCGACGAGAACCACGCGCCTCCCTTTCCTGCCCCTCGGGCCTTCATCCAAACATCACACTGTCGCGAGGTCTCCCAGACAAACATGCTGACCCCGAAGGCCTGCAGGGCCGGCCCCCTGGGCCTGCGAGGTTCCCGCAGATGACAAAGGCGCTTCGCAGACGCGATTACACTGAGGATCTCGAGATGGGGAGGTGGGCCCGGGTTACCCAGGTGGGCCCGAAATGTGATCTCCAGTGTCCCGTGAGAGGCAGGAAGAAGCAGCAGGTTCCGTGGCCGAAGCAGGATGCCCGGCTGCTGGCTGGGAGACGCCCGACGGGCCGAGGGCTGCGAGGAGTGCAGCTCAGGAGGCTGAAAAGGCAGGGAAAGGTCTCTGCCCGGGGGGACTCCAGGAGGAGCCAGCCCTGCCCACGCCTTCTCCTGGGCCCAGGGGTGCGGGGCCGGGGCTTCTGGACTTCTGAACGGCGAGGGGATAAGTGCGCGTCGTCCGAGTTGCCAAGACAGTGGACCTCCCCACGGCAGCCACAGGGACAGACGCTCTCCCCGTCTTGCTGCTGTCCCCAGGGCCCCACTCCTGCCCTTCTCAGCACCCGACACGCTTCCCATGTTCTTCGTTCGTCTCGTTACCGTGTGTCTCTCTAAGGGGACCATGAACTTGGAGCGGGGCGGGAGACTTGCTCTGCTCTACCCACACTCTCTGCCCTGCAGCCCAGTATATAGTCGGGCTCAGCAAACTCCGTGCTGGAATTCAACAGTGGAACAATAGCCCAGAAGACTTTTAATATTCATTGTACTGCAGGACGTAATTTACCAAATTCCCAGATGGGCCTTGTGTACAACTGGTTGTGTGTGCTCCGTGTTTTTCTGTCCCACTCCCTCTGACCAAGCCCGCCGGTGCCATTTCGCCTCCCAGAGGTAACCATGCTTGTAGTTTGGGTTGTGCGCTCCTGGCCCATGTTTTACATTTTACACCTGTATGGAAGTGTGTAGGGGTTACACCCGGTGCTCCTTGGGGTCTGTGTTTAAAGTTCACACAAATGGAGCGACTTTTCTTCAGGCCGCAGGGGACACACGAGGATCTCCTTCCTTTTCCTGCCGTGCAGTGTTCCATTGTCAGGACATGCAGCACGTTATTCATCCCGCACCCTGCTGCTGCACCGGGCAGAGTCCGGGCCAGAAAAGGAGGGACCACCCAAAACAAGGAGGAGCTGAATGGAGGTGGGCGGGGCCCGCGAGAGCCACACACTCACACCCTCCCCGTCGCCTCTGCAAGGACCGTCGTTGTCCTTGGGTCCTGGGACCGTGTGTTGAAGCTCCTCCAAAGTCCCCACGAGGGGCCTGGCTGGCCAGGCGACTCTGCACTACCCCGGCCAGTTTAACCTAAGAAAGGCAGGGTGACCATTTGGACCTACAAGTGAAGGCACCTCACAAAGGGATTTACCCTGAGTCACCTGCTCCTGGAGGGTCACTAGGAGGACCCCCGCGGGGCTTTCTTTCCACAGTTTTGTCAGCACGACCCCCTTGAACTCCGGCGAGCCACAGAATGATACAGGACAGAGTCCTGGGTCCAGTCTCAGCCGCATCCCTTGCGAGTGTGACTGTACTTCTGTCTCTTCACCCGTCCGCTTGGGGGCATCACAGGTGGAGTCGGCCCACACCCGCCCCAGAGAACCGGCGGGGAGGGGCCAGGCCTGCGCCCAGCAGATACTTAGAAACAGCTCCTTTCTGTAGAAAGAACGGAAGTGCCCGCCTTTCTCTCACTTCCTTTCTGGGGCCTGGGCGGGTTGGCCTGTGACTGGCCAGCTGTTATTTTTGGGCGTCGGTTGCTCCGTGTGAAACCCCGGTCCCCCCAGAGAGGAAGGGGGGGCACCAGGTGACCTCGCCGTTGGTCTGGGGTGCAGCCGGCCCAGGTGCAGTGGTTACTGCCTCAGAGTGAAACCCACACTGGTCAGGCTGGTTCTGCGGCCAGGTTTCCTAGCAGATAAGCACCGTGTGCGGTATTTACAGACACTCAGAACGCAGAGGGGCTGCGGTCCGCTCCCCCGGTTTTGACAGGACGGAAACTGGGGCCCAGCACCTCAAGCGCCTGCTCTGAGGCCACACACGGAGCTTGGGACACCAACAGGACCAGAGTCCAGAGTCTGGACCCCTCCGAGGGGCGGCAGGCTTGCCTGTTTGGAGGAGGAACGTGCTGAGCTTTGAGGACCCTGAGCATCTCCGCCCACCCCGTTGTTCCCAGGGTCCTGGGCCTCCTGGTGGGTGGGCAGGGCTGAGCCTCAGGGGGAGGCAGGGCCATGAGACTGTGTGCCGTCTGGGGTCCCAGAGTCCGCGTCAGGGCAGACGGGGAGAGCCACCTCCGTCCCCCTCACGCCCATTCATGGTGGCCTTTAGCGGTCTTCCCTGCTGCGCCATCTGGGCTGCTCTTTGGCGACCCCCGTGACCCGACTTCACCGCACTGAAAGCGGCTGTGTGGTGACCCCGCACCCCCACGCTTGTTGGGCTTGTGCCACAAGCCAGACGTGGTCAGGGCTGTCCTCACGGACAGGGTGAGGTGCCAAGAAAGCTTTGCAGGAGCCGACGGGTCCCCCTAGCAAGTATCTGGGCACAGAGCTCTCCCGGCCCAGGGACTGCACAGCAAGGCCCTGACGTGCTTGAGGCCCAGAGAGGGAGCCCGTGTGTGGGGTCGTGCGGCTCCTAGAGGGAAGGGCCCGGGTGCAGGGACCTGGCCTCAGGCTCCCACTCCGAGGGCTCTGGCAGAGGACGACGAAGCAGTGACCTGGGCTACAGGTGGCACTCGGCCCGGGCGGGGATCCCACGGACGAGGGCGCAGGCAGGAGAGAGGCCACCTGGCCCAGCCAGGTGAGGGGGGAAGTGGCTCGAAGCAGGCGGGGCAGGAGAAGGTGGGAGGTGGTGGTCTCAGAATCACCGTGAAGGGGACCCCTGAACCTTCCAACAGATGTGGGTGGGCCGTGGAGGGAAGCGGGGCGTCCGAGCCGCTCGGGGCCGGGTGCCCGTACCGCCCTCCCAGCCAGCCTCCCAGAGCCCCGCCAGGCTGCAAGTGAACGAGGCCGCCCACAGGCCTGGCGCTCTGCTCGGCGAGGGCTCGGACACGGTTCTGAGGGTGACGACACCAGAGTCACCGCTCACGAGAACCTCGGGCAAGTCTCCCATCTCCACGTCCATCTTCCTCGTGAGACAGGCATTGATGGGTCTCTCCTCTCCTCCCCAGATCCCTCCCGAGGAGACAGGTGGCTACACATCAGGGGCTGAAACACGAGGCGAGCAGGGCTGGGCCCGGGGGGCTGAGGGGCTGCCCTGGGGCCATGGTGGCCGAGAGGGGGTTCCCTCCCGACGGCAGAGGCAGAGCTGAGGCGCAAGGAAGACAGAGCATCAGGCGGGCGGAAGGAAGGAAGAGTGTTTCAGGCAAAAGGAACAGCATGTGTGAGGGCCCTGAGCCAGCACAGGGGGTGGCAGCTGAGGAACGAAAAGGGGTTTACAGGCAGAGAAGTGCTGGCTGGTGGGCCAGTGGTGACACAGGTGTGCTTGTGACACAGGTGTGGGCGTGGTGGTGACACAGGTATGGCGTGGTG